GTTTCTCAATACTCACATCTGTAAAAAGTGCTTAACACCTATGCAAATGAAAACCAGAAAGACAATGGATATGGAACAGTCTTCCCTGGATCCTAGAATTAATCAGAAGGGGAAAAAGGACCCATCTGTTTATAACATTAAGAGATGCCCCTGCCCCTGGCATTTTTACTTTTTAAGTTTAATTAATGTCAAAAATTATTGTTTTAAAAATGTTTTTATGTTGTTTTAATTGACTGTGATTTTTTTTAGAAAAACACTTAAGTGTCTTATCATGAAAGAAAAGAAAAGCTTACCTATCAATTTATAAACATAATTTGTGGAAGAGAAGTGAGAGAGAGAGACCAATAAAAGACTTTTAAGCATATAAATACATTACAACAGGATAAATATTTGTAGAGAAAATGGAACGGGAATAGTTCAAGGGGAAAAAGGGAACAATATAAAATGTCCTAAATGTTAAAAAATCTTCCTGTACAAGACCAAGAGAGAGTCCTAATGTCGACTGTAGACTCTGGGTGACAATGATGTGTCAATGTAGGTTCACTAATTTTGACAGATACGTCACTGTGGTGGGGGACACTGACAGTAGGGGAAGCTGGGCGTGTGCAGGGACGAGGGGTATGTGGGAACTCTCTGTGCTTTTCAATTTTACTGTGCATCTGCTCCAAACATGAAGACTATAAACACAAAGCTTATTCATGCACTTCTTCAATGGAGGCTTGTGGGAATGAAATTGCCATTGAACTGTATTTAGATTCCACTGGACAGTTTTTTAAACTGTCAACATTTAAAATATGTTGGACATGGCGTTCTTGGCATCTATAAACTCGTGATGAAAAAGTTTGGGTGTCTACAAACAAATGTACGAGGTGGCACGTGGTTTTTCAAACGTCTTTGAGGAGGTGTGCAAGCACGAAAGTGCGACATGCATTTGTGGATGCAGCTGCCACCTGAAGTTGGCCATACGGGTCATGCGGGAACAGATGAGCGAGCAGAGGAAGGGCGTCTACTGAGAGGGAGGGGAATGACACAGCTGTGTACAGGGACAGAGAGTGACAGAGAGAGATGGAGGCTGGAGGGAGGGCTCGGGCCAAGATGCTTCATCCTCAGGGCCAGTTCCTGGGAGTCCTGTCCATACTTCCCATCTTTCACTCCATGAGACACCTCTGGATCCTTTCAATAATCACTCTGAAAAATTCCTAGTTAAAGCAGTATCTGTTCTCATGACCCAGTGATCCCCAGTGACAGCTGATGGCATGGAGCTAACAGTGTCTGTGCATTCGGACTTCAGCAATGGCTCGGAAGAGCCAGTGATGGTCTTGGACCCTCACCAAAGCTCAGTAGTTAGACTCACATATGGTTCCTGCCTCTTGGGAATGAAGCTAAAGCAATAACTATTCCAAAATGCTGGTAAGTTGTTCTTAAGTGGAATAGTGCAACCAACAGGAGAATTCATTATGAGTTGCTCTTTTTTTCTCATTTTAAAATGGGGTGATCTGTTATTACCTTCCAAAGTATAGATGAATCATCCTTTTGGAATTCCTTCCTAATTAAGCACCTTTTGGTCCACAAATTTGCAGAACCTTGTTTCTCTCTGTAAATTTATTACAGATAACTTTGTCGTAGACGACTGCTGAAATTCAGTTGAGATCCAACCACTTTACCTTTATACATAACTTCACAACACATCAAGCGGTTTTCTTGCTGGATTTGACCCCTTGAGATGGGAAGTGCAGCAGCACCACCATCTTACTAACCAAGAAGCTGAATGTAAGTGTTGTCCAAGAGCACACCAAGGTTACACAGTGGGTGACATTTGAAACCCAGGTGTGCAAAGTCACTTTCCCCGTCATCGGTGGAAGAGGATGCCTTGTAATTATACCCACATAAGCACACCACTAATGTCTCCGAATTCTCACTTACTGTTGTTTCTGATAATTGAGTTCAAAGCCTTCCTTTGCATTCATTGTATTGCCTTCTCCCCAGCCCTATCTCCAGAGATAAGCAATTTGTTAAAAGACTCCTATTAAATATTGAAGATTTCAGTATCGAGATTTTAAGTATGAAATGTTACATAGTTTTGTATGGTTTAGTGATTTTCCAGAAGAACTGAGGATAATCTGGGCCAGATAAATTCTTTCTTAGTCAATCTGCATATAAATGTTAATCCATCTGTCTTTGTCTGTTTTCTGTTGCTGTAACAGAATACCTGAGACAGGTAATTTTTAAAGAAAATAAGTTTATTCGGCTCATGGTTTTGGAGGCTGGGAAGTCCAAGGGCGTGGTGGTAGCCTCTGGTGAGGGCTTTCATGCTGTGTCACAACATGGCAGAAGAGTGGGAGAGCAAGTGAGCCGGGGAGAAAAAGACCGCAGGAGTGAGCTGAGCTTGCTTTTATAACAAGCTGCTCTTGCGACAACTGACTCATCCCTAGAGAACTAATTTACTCTGGAGAGAACTCATTCACTTCTGAGATAAGGGCATTAATCCACTCATGGGGGCTCTGCCATCATGACCCAATCATCTCTTAAAAGACCCCACTTCTTAATACTGTTGCATTGGCAATTAAGTTTCCAACACATGAACTTTTCGGGGACACATTCAAGCCACAGCACTATCTTTTATAATCAAAGGGGCCAGGGGTAGGCCAAGAACAAAAAGACTGACTTTGAAGTCATGAATGCAGATTTCAAGGAGAACGACAGAATGTGAACTTTCAAGCACTCTGGGAATATACACTTGCAGATCTGTGAGAATCTGCATTCTTGTTTCCTAGGGGCATAGAGGATGTCAGTTACCATGCAAGAGAATGTGATTGTTAGATAGCACATGGTTCTCAAGGAACGGTGAGCTGGGCCTTTGCATGCACTTTTATACAGAAAGTAGAATAATAAGCTTGGGCTTGTTCTGATCTGAACGCCCTCGGATCAGTCTTTTCCCACTGTGCAAAACCGAGCCACTGTAGTAACTCCGGAGTCGACTGATTCCACTTGTGGTATTGTCCTAATATCTGTATTCAATTTATCTTGTCTGAGGACTTCCACAGTTGCTAAGTCTACCAATTTCATTCTGGGTTTCCTTTAGTCTGGAGAGCTCTGGACAGAATAATTAACCTGTGAGAATTGCTCATCAACATCCTCAATGATAGTCTTAAGACCAAACAAAGGCCTATCTTTGATCTCGGTTTTCTCATTTGTAAAGGAGTAATTAAAATACATCTTGTTTTTGCTTTTTTTAATTTCAGCATATTATGGAGGTACAAATGTTTAGGTTACGTATATTGCCTTTGCCCCACCCGAGTCAGAGTTTCAAGCATGTCCATCCCCCAGACGGTGCACACCACACCCATTAGGTGTGAATATACCCATCCCCTCTTTCCCCCTCCCACCTGCCCGACACCCAATGAATGTTACTACTAAATGTGCACTTAAGTGTTGATCAGTTAATACCAGTTTGATGGTGAGTACATGTGGTGCTTGTTTTTCCATTCTTGTGATATTTCACTTAGTAGGATGGGCTCCAGCTCTGTCCAGGATAATACAAGAGGTGCTGTATCACCATTGTTTTTTGACAATACATCTTTCTTAACCCTCGCAGTTGTAAAGATTAAAGATAATATATGCACAGCATCTAGCCTAGCCTATAGCAGGTATTAAGGAAACAGAAATAGTTTATTATTGTTTCTAGCAATTTCTCTCTTCCTCTGGATCATCATTTTATTCTCTCTGCATTTGGTAGCAAGTAGCCTTTGTTACAAACTTCTAGGAAAATAAGTTCCTAGGACTGACACCTTAAGAATTGAAGTGTCAGTTCCTATCACTATCCTTATCTCCAGAAGTTTCACTTTGCAATCACAGAGGGAAGTCCCTTAACACAAGGACAGTTTCTGGGGAATAGGAGGACAGTGACAAAAATCCAGTCAATTACTTTCTCCCTTTGTAAATGCCTTGTGGTCTAAGAACAGGTTGGACGGGGGATCTCTCAGCAATGGAAAGATTTCCACTATCTCACAAGAAAAGGAAAGCGACTCACAGAAAAATTTAGGGGCACATGTCTAACATTTATAGATAAAATATTGTCCATCTGATAGAAAATACTTAAGTGAAATGTGTAAATTTCATGCTAAATCTGCAGTGTGTAAAAAGAGATTGTTTTTGAAGGAGAGGGAGAAACTCAGCATGTTTAGGGCCAAGGTAATCACGTTCCTCTCCCAACCTATTTCTCTTCTTGTGCTTCCTCCCCCATGAATGCCACCAGAATGTACCCATTTCCCTGCCTGAAACCAGGTGTCATCCTTGTCTCCTTCTACGTCTCTCTATTATCCTAGCAGCCAACTGATCACCGCGTTCTATAAAATCTACTTCCTAAATATCTCCAACGCCTTCCACATAGATGTCAGATAACGCTTCTCTTCCATTTCTAACATTCTTTGATTTTCCTTAAAAAAAATGGAGTGACCCTCATGCAATGACCCTCATTACCGTTGCTTGAGGCCTCAGCAACACTCCTGTACACATGACTTAAAGGAATCATTTTCAAAATGAAGAACAACGCTTTTTACTTGCATAGATTATTTGTAGGATGGAATCACAGTAATTTGTATATTTTTAGTTATGCCAGTTAACAATGGATCAATAACATCCAAATACAAACAACGAAGAAAAGAGCATCTTTCAAACGGGAGGCATTGATAACCAATAGTACATCAAGGTATACTGGATGGAGCCAGACAGAAACAGAGAAGAAGAGAAGGATTAGACGACAACAACAGGTATTAACAGATATGTGAAAGATTGTGAATAAAAAGAAACAAAGTGGATTCTTTTTGAATCCTTCAAAGGGCTCTTAGTTTATATATGGCCTCAGAGTTGAGTTTGCTTTTATTTGAAAAGAATATACTTGTGATATTTTGTGAGATAATGAATGGTGTGGTTTGTACACAGGCGACATTAAAAAAATCCTCCATATTTTATATGGTTTAACAATATACGGGTTATCTTACCTGGGGGTTTTTAAATACAGCATACTTTTCCTCTTTTTCCAAAAATAGTACTTTATTTTCCGTGTCTCTTGTCCAGTCTGATAAGACTTCAACAACATTTTCATGGTCTTCAAAAAACCTCTCTGATGAAATAAGAAAACATATTCTTTCAGACCCAAAATATCAGGGTTTCTAACTGAGAAACAAGCTATTGTTGAGTTAAACACAATGCTTCATAGTTTTCACCAGGTTTCTAAGATTCTTAATTCTCACATGATGCCACACTGTAACATTCCCATTATGTTTATCTTCTAGTGTCAGGTCTTCAGTTTGTCCTCCATAAAAAACAAGGTGGAAAAACCCGTAATACAATGACAATGATCAGCTTTACCACTTTTTTCTTTTTTTCTTTCTTTCTTTTTTTTTTTTTCAGAGATGGGGTCTCGCTATATTGCCCAGGCTGAAGTGCAGTGGCCATTCACAGGCATGATCACAGCGCACTGCAGCCTCAAACCCATGGGCTCAAGCAATCCTCCTGCCTCAGCCTCCCCAGTAGCTAGGACTACAGGTACACCACTGTACCTGGCGATGTAGTATTTTCATATTAGCATTTTTTCCTTTAAATAGTCCCAGGTGGTGGAAACATTCTATCTGTGAGGAGGGCAATCAATGACTGGTTAAACAGTTTGAATGAAATTGTGAAATCTACAATGCATACTCTAAAACATCACTCCCTAAAACTCTAAAAACAATGTATGGATGCCTGAACTAAACTTAAACATAAAGGAAGGCTTTTATCTCTTTCCTTGACTCATACACAATTGAAGCAAACTTCAGCTCTAGCCCATCACTGGAGAGGGGACTTACCAATTTGTAGTTCTGGGTATATTTCGTAGAGACACCAGTCTACATTGCAGTCACAGTGAGTTTTCTCAAAAAGGTTGTCCAGAACATCTCGGGCCAGCTGCCGCTCATCCACCATCAGTGACTTTGTGCTGTTGTCGTCCATGTGCACCTTGACGACGAGCTGGGGATAAAGCCACGAAGCAGCCAGTGAATTTCAGCAATGGGAGAAGGCCACTAAGATTAACGTTTCAAAGTTGCTATTGTTTCTGCAAAGTTAAGTAAGAACGTGTTCTATGAACTCATTCGATCTAAACTTATTAACACTTACATGCCAGGCACTTGCTTTAGGTGCTAGGAATATAGAGGTGGAGAAACCAACATACAAAAACACAGAACAATGAACAAATCCTGGCCGAGCATTCAGGGACTTGGCATTCCGGTGGGCGATTCAGAAAACAAACAGAACCCAAGAAGTTCTGACTTCTTTCTGGCCCAACATCATTCCCTGTTACTTGTTCTGGTTCTGCCCTAGAGCCCAGAAACATTTCTTGATTGAAAGCCATGCCTATATCTTATAATAAATTCTTCTCTTTTGCTTGTCTGGAAAGCAACCCAAGAGTCTGAAGACACCAGGTGAGAGCAAGGTGGTTAATCTACAATTCTCCGAAGGTCCGTGGAGTGTACCGCGACTGCCTTGGTGACAGGCAGATTGTATTACAACACAGCACAGCTGAGATCAGAGGTGGATTAAGTGAAATGAATGTCGACAGAGAAACAAGCTGCTCTGGAGGCATGCAGGCAAATGATCGATCTCATTTACTTTTTATTCCATTTTCGAAAAAATTCCATTGGACTGAATTCACAATCAAATTAGCAGTTACCTCATTTCAAATCTGGAGTTTGGTGGGAGCGGAACTTACTTATCTTCAGTAAAGACACAGGATATCTATCACTGGCTTTTTCTAGGCAACTTGTCAAAGTTATTACACCTTCTGATTTTGAGGTAATGCAACAATCAGTTCATGAAGTGATGTAGCGAGGCTTTGGATTTTCCTTGACAGCTGTGTATCTGTAGTGTATCTGCCCAGGGTTGGTCATCGCCATTTGCCGATGACACTCATCATTATCAAAAAAGTGATCAGATGGCTGGGAAAGGAGAAAGAGGCCATACCCTGGGTAACGTTGCTTCCTCTCCAAGAGTTTGGGTTAGGTTCCGAGCAGCTGGGAAACTGCCCTTTCTGTCTCAGTCCCGCCTGACTTGACCTCGAAAACACTCTGCAGTTACCAGATTGAAGAGTGTAGCTCCTGCAGCTTGTCAGGTGGGGTTGCTGATGGCAACTGAAGGGCGTGAAGCAAGCGTGTGGTGGTAGAAGTCTGGGTGTGGTGCAGGCAACAGCCACAGCCACAGCCACGTGAAGCACTCACGTAGCGCCTCCTCTTCCCAACACACGCCCATGAGTCAAAACATAGACATGGGGCAATCGAAGAGCACTTCCTCCTCCAGGGACCATTCAAATGAGGCCCTTCTCGCAGGCTTGCCTGAAGAATATTTTTTTCCCTTGAAAACCTGTAGTTAGACAGTTGCTTTTTTCCTATGTTTTTCTTTCGATGTATTTAAAATTCTAGGCCCAGGTACCACAGTGTCAAAGATACATTCATCTGACCTTAGAGATAAGTATTGGAGGGTTGCTTGGAAAAACAGAAATTCCTCAAATAGTGGTCTTTACTGTGATCTATTTTCTGTAAAAGGCATATTTACTGTTTTTGCTGAGAATTACTGCTATAAAGTAGCTACATGTGCTAAGAAACACTACCAACGTTGGGGCTTAGAAAATTTAATCGTCTTGATGGAAAAATTAATGGTGTTTGATCACATTTATTCGTGCTTAGGAATTCTTGAGAAAAAAAAACATGTGTTGGTATTTTCTTTTGTTTTTTATACAGAGAAAAAAAATACTAAATCACATAATTTGGCAATGATGAAAGGTTTTTAGAAATTTATTTTTTGCAGAAACTGCAAACTAGATTTAATCCACATATACTTATGAATGTCCACAATTATAGAATTTACAAAACAAAAAAACAAGAGAAGGCTGGTGACGTTTAACAAGAAGGAATCATATTTACCATTCTCCACAGCTTCCCTCATATCAGCAAGCTGAAGAGTAGCTCTAGACCAACACACAACAACACTAAATCACAGTTATGTGACTTAGCAAGCTAAATCAGAGTTAAGTGATTTAGCCAGCTAAGTACTTTTTGTATTTACACTATATGATATGGGGCAAAATGATTCAAGAACAAAAACACTTCATTTTTCTAATCCATTAAAGATTAGAAAAATTCTAATTTTTCTAATCCATTAAAGATTAGAAAAATTCTAATTTTTCTAATCAATTAAAGATCTTATAGTTTTTATAATTTCTTCTTCTTTTTCTTTTGAAAGCTGTTAAATACAAAAATATCCTAGCCCTAAATCATATATATATCTATATGATATGATATATATGATATGATATATGTGATATATAGCTTCTATAATAAGATTTACAAATAGAATTGTTCTCCTGTGTCATGGAGCTTTCAAACAAACAAATAAAACTAACGCATGAGTCTGATTCTGTTTCTGGTGCCAAAATCTTCATACCACAAGCTGTGTACATCATTTATAATTCAAAATGGTGTCAACACCCCACAGAATACTTGAGGGCAAAGTACTTCAGATAGACTTGATTTCCATCCCTTAAAAACACGTTGTAGATTATATGTGAGTACACTGCAGGTACTTTCTTAAAGTATGAGTATGTCTCAGTTATTTTTAATGTTCTGTGCCATGGACACAGAACAGAAACACATTTGGAGTGTCTGAAATCAGAACAAATACATAACTTGTCTTCATAATTTTCTTTCCTTTCCCATGGATCAAGTGGCTTCTGTTTTACATCTTCTTTGTTGAATCAAGGCAGGTTGTGCTTTGCGTCTGTCATTATAATTCACCTAAACAAAGCTCTCTCGCTTTCTGATATACGGCAGGAAATACCTGCTATCGTCTCCTGTTCTCTTAATCTCCAGCTGAAGCAAATAGATGGAATTTGCTAGTTGTTCTACCTTTTTATCTAAGAAACAGCTTCTCTTTTCATTTCCCATTTGAAAATATATACAATGTGGCCCTCGTTTTACAAATAATCCAGGGGTTTGAAATAGTCTAATTGTGAATTTTACTTTTACCCTTTTCTTTTGTCTTTTTACCTGCAGGGGTAACGTCAGTGACTCAGTGCAGCCCATCCTCATCTGCCACCCACGTGTGACCCAATTCAACACACGTTACCTCTGGGTAAGGTTTTGTGCTAGAACCCCGCTCTCACCCCTTATCCCTGCAATCCTCTTTCCACGAAGCGGCCAGCATGACCTTTAAAAACCATATGTTAGTCCCATGCACCCCGTTTAAAGCCCTTAAATGTCTACCCATTGCACTTACTATACAACCCAAACTCCTCCTCCGGCCTGGGAGACACCCTGCGGCTCCTGCCTCTCTGACCTCAGTTCCTTCCTTTGCTCTTCTCAATGGCTCCCTGAGCAATGGTCACACGGTCCCTTATTTCTCCCCAAACCTATTCTTCCCTGAGCATCCTTCTCTGTCCATGCCCTCGGCCCGGGACGCCTCTCCCGCATCACACCGTGTGTACTGGCTGCTTCACTCGAGAGCCACCTCCCCAGACGGCCTCCTCATCACCAAATCCGGCTAGAAGAGTCTCCTGGGTCCCCTCTGTCCCTTCTCCCTGGGTTGTTTCCTTCAGAGCACTCATCTACCCCGTGCGACCTCGCCTGACTTGTTCACCTCTGTGTATCCCCGGCACCTGTTCTAAGAGATGGAAACACACGGGCGAAGAGAAGAGACAGAAGTCCCTGGAGGAGAGGTAACGAGACCAGGCAACCAGAACGGGGTGGACGAGGGAGCGAGCCGCGGGAGGTGATTGGAGGCAGATCATACAGGGGGTGGGGCCATTGCGAGGGGTTTGGCCTCACTGTGCGAGACAGGCAGCCACGGGAGACTTTGGAACAGAGGAGGACAAGAAGAGAGAATGGGAACTGGAGCCCAAGGAGAGAGGCTGGTTTTAGACGGAAACGTGATGGTTCATCCACGGTGCCAGGAAAGAATGGGGGATGCATGTGGACAGGTGCAGGTAGGAGGCAGGTAGGAGGCAGGTAGGTAAATGTCTCAGTGGGAGCTGGTGCAACTTTTCTTTCGATTGCTTCTATTTCCTCTGCGAAATGAGTAGCAAAATCATTAGCCGAGAGAATGCAGATGAGGAAAGAGGTTTTGGAGGTTTTATAAGAGAGGACAAGGTATAAATGGTTTTCTCGGTTCGTGGGAGAGCGATTGGGCCAGGGAAGCTCGGGTGGCACCGAGGGCCCAGGACTGAGCAGGGGGAGGGTTGGGTTGAACCAGGGTTCTCCGCAAGGCAGCAGAGAGCAAGAATGTAGCATTCCAGCGATCGACCGTGAAATTTAATCACATGCAGAGAATAACGGAGAAGAATGGTGAAGCAGCTCACGCATGTTTGGAATGAATGGAACCAGATTGATCTGGGAAGATTCTCCTAGATGAAACTTGAAAGACTGGATTCAAGGATAGTCAAGGACTATTTACTGAATATCAACCAACATGTATCGATTCAAAGAACTGTGATAGGTGCAGTGGGAATATAAAGTGTAAAGAAAGCCCTATTTGGAAAGGATAATTCACCCAACAGTTTTTTTTCGTTTTTTTTTTTTTAGAGACATGGTCTCACTCTATTGCCCAGGCTGTAGTGCAGTGGCACGATCATAGCTCACTGTAACTTCCAACTTGTGGGCTCAAGCGTTCCTCGTGCCTCAGCCTTCTGAGTAGCTGGGACTACAGGCATGCGCCACCATACCCAGTTAATTTTTATTTCTTTGTAGAGATGGGGTCTCACTATGTTGCTCTGGCTGGTCTTGAACTCCTGGCCTCAAGCAGTCCTCCCACCTCAGCCTCTCCAAGGGCTAGGTAGGATTACAGGCATGAGCCACTGCGCCTAGCCAGGAAAAAGTTCTTAACAAGTCTCAGAGATGTTACACGCTTCAGGAGTTGAAATAAGATGAGGACTGTTTCATCTGTCCCTGAATTTACCCAATTATTATTAACACTTAATCATTAGGTATCTGCTTCTAATGAGGTCAAATACATATGTTTCTGTTACAATACAATACACATGTTCCTGAAAAACCTACCCTCTGCAAAAAAAAAAAAAAGTGCACAATAAAGTTACAGTCTTATTGGGAAAGTAGATTTGGGGCAGATCACTCAAAACCTATGCAACTTTGAAACCAGAACACCAGCAAAAACAGCATTTGGTACCCTAGGAGACAAGTTGGATATCTAGGGCTGACAGCAGGGCTGGAGGCTGCCCCAGGGGATGTGGAAAATGCACAAAAGCAATTGTGGGAACCTGGAGACCAGACCAAGGGAAGCTGAGCTTCGACCCAGTTAAGGAAGCCCGGGAGGTGGCGCCACCTGCTACAAGCCCAGAGCTGTGTAGAGGCCCAGGGGGGCCTCAAGGGACGGGGCCTCATTTGTACAAACTTATTGTTAAATTTCTTATATTAGAGTTGAAAGGGCTTCTGCCTGTGCGGCAGCCAAGCCAAAGGCCTTTTCCTTTCCTGTTGAAGGTATGATCCTACTGCCACTATTTCAGCTCCCAGGAAAGATCATGTGTAAACCACCAAAACAATCATGTACAAGCCAAGGAGACGTCCACGTTTATACCAACACAGGTCCCCT